TGAATTTCAAGATAAAGTAACCTGAACGACTCTAAACATGTTTCTTATAGGTTTTCGACAATGCTCTTTCCAGTGGCATCGTTTTTAAATATTGAGAAAGTTTTCTGAAGGGTTTTCCAGAGACCGGGTCTCTGGAAAACTCCTTAGAAAACTTTTTCAAAACCCAACTCTTATGCCATTAGAAAGAGGATCATGAAAAACCTATAAAAAAATGGTTCAAGAAATTTTAGTTCGCTCATAAAGCTAAAGTCCGCTTGCTCTAGCAAAAAATGCCCACTGTGTAGTATTGGTCTGATGTTTACTTCTGTCGTCCTTCTGAACGGTCATTCTCTTCGTGAAGTTAAGAGAAAAGTTAAAAATGATATGCCAAGAACCTTTATAGCTGAATCATGTTATTGGCCAATCGTTTCATTTCTCAACTTTCGGTTTATACCATTGGATTATCGGCCAATGGTTGGACGCCTAGCGGGTGCTATTTGGAATGTCTATGTCTCATCAGCTACCAATAATCCGAAGCTAAATCCCGATGGTACCATACAATCACCAGCAGGAGCGCGAACAACTCTGGTAGCTGAGATAGGTGGATCGGCAGTGTCAGCCTTACAAGAAGCATGAAAAACAGTAGATAAGAATAAAAAAGATCGGTAGTTCGTAGAATACACTTTTAGTTTCAATTCTGCTAGATAATGACCAGTATGTCGATAAAAGTTCCTTTTTCTCTACCACATACCTTTTGTAAAGTAGAGAGACATCAATGAAACTCTATCTTATAATGTGATGTTTCTATCTTATATACAGAAATTTGTTTCTCGTGTATTCTTATTTCCAAATGAGCAAATCTTGTTTTTATTTATCGAATGATAGTAGAAGTCAATTGCTCGGCTTCTATAATAGGCGAGAAAAAATAAAAATTCAATGGTTACTTGGATGGTCGTGGAAGGAAAAAGCTAAGATATTGACTAAAGGGAACGGAAACCATATAAGAAAAAAGGTCTCAATTTTTGAATCGGGTACGAATCCCATATCGACATTGCAAATGGAAACATAATAAGATGCTGCCTTTCTTGATGTGCAAGATGTACGCTAGAGCGCAAAAATTCTTGCCTTCTGTATATCCCACTTGTTTGAAAACAGAGATGGAGAAGTGTTTAGTTTTTTGTTCAAGAGTACATCAATAGTCGAATCCAGAAATCTTCATGTAGTTAGTATTCTTTGGAGAGAAGGGAACGTATGGAATGGACAAGTTACTTGATATTATCTATGGGAGAACGTCGAGTGACGGACAGTATGAAAACATGGAGAGTTCTCATGAACTGTCAATGTCTGTCAAGAACTGCTCGATTGCTTCATTGAATCAATTACCGCAAGACTTGTTAGTAAAGGTAAAATTTTGATTATGATGATTTTGTTCGTCGACGACAAATATATTCTCATCACTATCGGAGGCCATACTACCCGCACAGTGGGCATTTTTTGCTAGAGCAGGCGGACTTTAGCTTTATGAGTGAACTAAAATTTCATGAACCATTTTTTT